CTAGGTCATATTTTTTACAACACGGTGGACTTTGGCACTGGTCAATTTTTGGGCATGTAGAGTAACTGGTATCTTCTTAAAGCTTATTCATTTGTCTTTCTTTCGATGAAAAAGTACCTATCTATCTAGAATAGAAGTCGAGATATGTGTGTTTGAAGGAGGTGGGTTCGCCTAGTTTCAGAAGTAGAATTAGCGTGAAAATGGTCTCCAGATTGTGCTGACAGATTGTGTTGACTTTCAAAGCTGTAGGGCTCTTTGAAACTGCACATTTACATTTTTTTTTTGTCTGTGATCAATGTTTTTCAGTAAAATCCACTCAGGAATATGTTTTAAATGGACGTAAAAGGTATTGAGCCTAGAAAAGAAAATTAGAAAAGTATTGCATAACGGCCAAAAAACCCCCGCAGATTTCATTGCTTTTATTATTTTGACGAGCACCAGATTCCACCACGATGCCTCACATATTGTTCTGGTTTAAATAGCCTCTTTTATGTTATTTTGTAAGTACAGCTGAAACTGCTCTGACAGCCACCTGTATAAGACAATCACCTGTACAAATGGCCACGCCCCCCTGCATTTTAAAAATATTATGATGGCACTGAAAGAGTCTCCCTGCGTAATGGCTCGCACACACCAATGTCCAAACATCTGTGCTTGTGTGGTATCATGCGTTCGTCTAATGCTTGAACATGTGCCTGTGCTCACCTATCATCCGTCTATTCCTGTGTTATCGCTTGTGTTTTACATCAACATGGAAGTGAGAACTGAGAACACAGTTCAGAGAGTAGCGTATGGTAGCACTTTGCCTCGTGGTCTTCATGGTTATTGGACTCGGTGAGGGAGGGGTCGGTCGCAACACGAGAGCAGACAGAAATTTTATGGCTGCCATAAAACTCACTACACACACAAACGACAACTATCACTACCACATGAACACAAACAGTTGATGGGAACTCAAAAAGGGCCCAGATAAGTAATAAATTCTTTCGTGCGTCCCACACACGGTACCACACGAACGCGGATGTTTGGTGTGAATGAGCCTTAAGATGGCCACTTTTCTTCTCAGCCTTTGGTGGCTTTCTTAGACAATTTCAACTGTGTACATGATTTTCGTGATAAAAATCTCTCTCTCTCTCTCTCTCTCTCTCTCTCACTATCTCACTTTCTCTCTCTCTCACACACTCTCTCTATCTCTCTCTCTCCTGCTCTCTCTCTCTATCTCTCTCACTCACTCTCTCTTTCTCTCTCTCTCTCTCTTTCTCTCTCTCTCTCTCTCATGCCCTTTTTTTGTTTTACTGGAGTGCCCTTACATACCTCTATCCCCAGCGTCAAAGACCTTAAACCAATCTTGCTCTCTGACGAGCCCATGCAGTCAAGGCGAAATTTGTGACCCTGCGAGTAATGAAACCTGCCAGTGTCAACTAGGTAAGTTGGTGGTTGGCAGGTGCTCTGGTGTGGTTTGCTCCTTCTTTCCTTTCAGATATCTATCCTCCTTATCTGTCCTCCTCCTTTTTTATGTGTTTGTTACGCTCTTCAGCACTTGTATGTCCTTGTTAAGTTGCAAGTGCCATAAAAACTCTTACTTTTAAAAAAAAGGTAATATTTAGGGGAATTAGGAAGAAACAGTATATGTTTTTTATCCTTGGAGGGGGGGGGGGAGATTGACTTTACAGAGATATGCTTTACTTACTAATATAGTAACCTTTTCAAACTGAAGGATTCTGTCGCTGCAGGTTGCCTTGTTGCCCCGTATTTTTGAGTCAGGTTGATGTATTTTCATCGAGGAAACATTCCAGGCACTAACTTTCCCTGCCTTCTAGCTACCTCTTCAACATTGCCCCGCCTCTTCAACATTGCCTCACCTCTTCAACAGTGCCCCACCTTTTCAACATTGCTCCACCTTTTCAACACTGCTCCCTCTCCTCTATATTGCCCCACCTCCTCAAAATTGCCTCACCTCCTCAACATTGCCCCACCTTTTCAACATTGCCCCACCTCCTCAACATTGCCCCACCTCTTTAACATTGCCCCACCTCCTCAACATTGCCCCACCTTTTCAACATTGCCCCACCTCTTCCTTCAACTCTTCAACATTGCCCCACCTCTTCAACATTGCCCCACCTCTTCCTTCAACTCTTCAACATTGCCCCACCTCTTCCTTCAACTCTTCAACATTGCCCCACCTTTTCAACATTGCCCCACCTCCTCAACATTGCCCCACCTTTTCAACATTGCCCCACCTCTTCCTTCAACTCTTCAACATTGCCCCACCTCTTCAACATTGCCCCACCTCTTCCTTCAACTCTTCAACATTGCCCCACCTCTTCCTTCAACTCTTCAACATTGCTCCACCCTTCAACTCTTCAACATTGCCCCACCTCACCTCATCAACACTGGTCCCTCTCCCCAACATTGCCCCACGTCTTCAACATTGCTCCACCTCATCATAATGAGGGTACAGTGGTGGAGTGGAGCGGTCAGTGCGCTCGTCTGCAACGCGGAAAGTCGGACACTGATTTTTTCGCCCCCTCCTGCCCACCCAGCAGTAATGGGTACCTGACTTCGAGTTGGGGAAGTAAAGGCGGCGTGGAAAGGAACTGGCCATCCTTCCACAATATGCCGAAGGCCAAGGAAGTTGTCTCACTAACAAGGCCATCCCCAATATGCGGATCAGATGCGGGAACAACTTTACTTTTAATACTGTACCTCTTTAGTTTACAAATCTCTTCCAACAAGGAACTAATTTTCAAATACAGCTTGTTTGATCTGTGCATCAATTGAACCGCCTTATTTTGACCTCACCAAAGCAAGATTTCATCCAAAGGCAAATGACACAATGGCTTTTGTCAAAGTCTTTCATCCAACCATAGATTTCACAGCTGTAGCAAGAAAAATGAGTCACTCTAAAGATTTTTTACTCGCTACGTAAAGCAAGGTCAGAGGAAATTCCTGTTCTTTGTTGCGGCAGCGACGATACAAATGTGGGGACAGAAGAACAGTAAGTCCAGCAAAAACGCTGACATGAAGGTATGAGATGAACAAGAAAGATAAAGGTATCAAAAGAGATCAACATTTAGTAAATATCCAACCACCCTTCTCCATTTTCCTCTATACACATAAAGGTTATTCACAGTCACTTCACTCTTTATGTTCTAGGGAGGTAGACCCTCTATGCCAGGGCCGTCTCTTGGTACAAAATCTAAAAGTGACATATACGTCACGAATTTGGTCGTTAAATGAAAACTGGTGAACCAATTTTGATAGTTCTTCATATATTGAATGAACTCCCTGTAAAAGATACCTGTTTTCGGCTATTGCCAAAAAGTAATTTGATTTTGAAGTTATAAAGGAATGGGCCCAAACCGCTGAGAGCGGCTTGCTGGAGATAAGGAGTTAGATAACAATGTTTTCTTCCATGTCACCCTCAGAGTGGAAACTGATGGACGATGTGTGTGTGACCACCAGTCATCATGGGTCTCCCTGTTCACACCGGGACCAGTGTGGCTACCACGAGATATGCACCCAGCAGGGGTCAAAGGGAACGGTTTGCTCGTGTGAGCCGGGAAGTGGCTACGATGCCGTGCAGCAAATGTGCATGAGGGGAGAGACAGGAACTCCAGAGAAAAGTACGTATTTAGAACAATGTACAAATTTTGTAGGAGAGAGATAACTGTTTCATTGTATGTATTTAGAGCAAAGTACGTTTAGAAGTTTTTATATCAGCAGCAAGTTGTTAAATTGCACTAAGTCTAAAATGCAAAAATTTTGTAGGGGAGAGAAAAGCACTGTTTCATTTTATGTGTGTAGAATAATGAACTTTCAGAAGTTTTTATATCGGCAGCAAATTGTTAAATTGTCCGGAGCTTAGAAAGCAAACATTTCACGGAAGAGAGAAAAAACTTTTCATTCTCATAACAATCACTCTTACATTTTACGTTTTCTCTTGCTATTTTCAACTTTCAGAATTTGAATTTCAGCACAATATTTCCTGAGAGCATGCGACCAATACAACACAGGTTAAGATACTGCAATATTTTAAAAAATTATCAAAATTTTCGGCTGAATATATTTCAATATCTGGTGGAAGATATGTTTTTCGTACTCTCCATATTGTAAGGTCTCTGTATAAGTAAGGCACTTGGTCATGGTTGCAAGAAAAAGAAATATCTTCCAAGTTTTTGTCTCAAGCTGTAAT